GTAATCAGTAGAGTCAGTCGGAGCACCTTATCTTTTTTCTTTTGGTAAGGCCACTGTCCAACGAAAAAGAGCATTTCTTGGTAACACTGTAATAATGACTCCAGACAGATTCCATAGTTTAAGAGAGATCCTTCGCTCTTGGTGGTACGACGTCGACTAAATTTTTTGTCTTATTTTTCGATATACGGAACGAATAAATATTTCAGTCGAAAATAATAATGCCATATGTCAAAGTAGTACATGTCGAGACCTTTAATCTTTCGTGTCACTCTGCATACAATGTAATTGTGGATGACAGCATGTGGATAGGGTAGATATTTTTTTATCGCGAGTTCAACATATCGATTTATAATAATATCCTCTAGATTACTCTAGAACATACCAGTTCAGACTGTAGCGTTCCATCCATATATTTAAGGTTCGAATAAAACTTATGATGGATCAATGTATAGGATATTACAAAAAAATTTATTTCCATTTTATGGAAAAGACTCGTAACATGTTGTTTTTACACATATAGCTATATAAAAGTATAGCTATATGAATATATAAAGTAAGGCTTGCATAGGTATATAAAGGTGTTCTTCGTCTGTTCTTTAGAATTGCATTATTATTTCGTATTCCTGACGATACGATCTGTTCTTTTTATTTAAAATATATTAAAATATATTTTAAGTATAGATTAAAAAAATATATTAAAAATTATGAAAAATTATTCATTATTTATGGTATAGATAAATAAAATTGTTACATAAACATCTCTTTGAAGAACAAAAAATATATTTCTTCAATTTTAAGTAAGTATTTTAATAACATATGATATATTTAGATATTTTTTGAGAAAATTTAAGACCTATTATATTACACACACACACACACACACGAGTAAACGCAATGTTGTACACATAGACATTGTTCTAACAAGCACTGCAAAATTGAGATATAACAAATAAATTATTCTCTAAATTTCTTGGAGTGAAAATCGAAGTAAAATTTCATTCTTTTGGAATTTCATTATCTAGGTGTAACAAGAGCATACATATCATATGTATTAAAGAAATTTAAGAAAAGTTAAGATAAATAATTTTTTATTTGCTTTATTATATGTATATAAAGATCTGAAATCGAAAAACTAATATAATCTTGTTATCTCTTTAAAAGAAATCGATTTCTTTATCGAAATATGTAACTACTTTCTATGATCTAATTGTTAATCTTCGCAATGACAGTTGCTTGATGCTATATGATCATAATTTTATTCGCGAATTTTATTATGTACATGATTTTAATTCCCGAATTTCCATTATGTATATCATTTTAATTTTTTGAATTTTTATTATGAACATAACTTTAATTGCTAAATTTCTATTGTATTGTTTGAAAACTATTTTGTATAGATGTATCTCTTGATATATGTTTCTCATTTTGTTTAGTTTAATCGAATATAATGATGTATGCGCGAAACGAATTATATTATTTTTTTATAATAAAACCTTAAAAATTGCAACGCATGTATAAAATTATTATTGCAATGCATGCATAGAAATATATTATTAATTACGTGTTTCATAAAATTTTAATATTTAAATTTTTAACAGAAAACAAAAAAATAGAGTTTTCTACAAGAATATTTCGATTAATATCTACGCTTCCATTAGATTCGCGCATCTATGTGTCCGCTATGCTGTACGGCTCGTGTGATCACGTGATCAGATGATACATCCCACACGTCCATTACAGTGCGCGGCTCGCGCGAGACTGATTCTTATGCGAGGTATCAGTGTTGTTAGACGGGCTAGGTTTTTCGCGCATGCGCGTATTACCGTGACGTAACCATGACGACTACAGTAACGTATGATGTTTGCGCGCGCAACTACGGACCAAGACCCTGGACCACGGAGTTTTGGCGGAATCGCAGGAAACAGATAAATTGAACGTACGTAAAAATAAATAAATTATTACAATATATGTAATATAAAAGTGTATTATTATAATTTATGTATATTAAAATTAATCAATAATTCAAATTATAAATTGTATAAATAAAAACTAAACTCGTAATTTACGTACGTTATAACATAGGTACACGTTTATGTATATATTTTATAATTTCATTATTTGTTTATTGTATGTTTATATTTAACATTTTTAATTAATTTATTACATTTATAATAAAAATTATACGATTCATTAATTATTTTAAAAAATTTTCAATAATTTAAGAAAAATTAAACAGAGGGGGAAATCAGGACCCCATTTCATGCGAGTGACTACTTCATTAATACTACATTCAATGCGCATGCGCGAAAAAACCTAGCCCGTCTAACAACACTGCGAGGTATCGCGAGCGCGAAGCCGAGGTCACGTGGCCACTGATAACATGACCTCGGCTTCGCGCTCGCGATACCTCGCATGAGAATCAGTCTCGCACGAGCCGCGCAACGTGACGGATATGTGAGGTATAGAGTTTCGCGCGAGTCCAATAATAGCGTAGATATTTGATGCACTTGTAAATAAGACATAATTCATTATTAAAATTTGTCAACTTACAATAACATCAATTTATCTCAGGAGAGAGATACAGTAAAATACGAGACTGTCAATGAAATTGTCTGATATTATCTTTCTTTACTATTCATTATTGAATTCTGTTCGCACTTCTTTTATCAAGCAAGCGTCTATCTGGCTTTGTTCATGGAACAATAAAAATATAAAATTATGTAAACAATATGTTAATTATATGTCGCAATTGCAACTATAACAGAATGACTTTTTATAAAATAAGAATGAAATAAGATTAGTTATACGCATTATAAATTCAATGTAATTAGAAAATTATTGTGTCTATAACATATTAATGTGTTTGAACAAATATACTATCCAGGATCAATTATCGATCATTGTTTACTCGAATGTATACTTTAATACATTAATTATACTTAAATACATTATTATTGTTTTATCGACAAATCGTGAGATTAGATAAATTATAGATCTATTTATTCTTTTCATTGGTAATTTATTGTATACATACAAAATAAGACCAGCGCGAATTAGACTTTGGATAAAGGAATATAAGTGAATTTTTAGATATTAATTTGGAAGCCTAGTAAACGAGAATAGATCATCTTACATGTGCAAAAATATGCATAAAAATGTACTAGGCTTCTAAATTGATATTTAAACATTTATTTATATTCCTTATTTATTCAATGCCAAATCCGCCCAAATTTTATTTTGTCAGTACCTGCCAATAAAAAGAATAAATAAATTTATAGTTTTTATCTAACCTCATGCATTTTGTCGATAGAATAGGAAAGAAACAATAGCCATTTCAAGGACGTTTAGAATACTCTTAATCGTGTAAAAAGCATTTATTATTCAAGTCAATAAAAAAAAAGAGTGCACAAAAATAATGTTTTATCAATAAAACAAGACAGCGCTTAGAATCCTCTTTCTGGCTTGAAAACGCTAATTACAGATGAAAAATATCGCAAATTATTGAAAGGACGCGAGCACTGTAAAGTACGACATCGAAGTTTGTAGAATCTTTAAAGAAAAGCACTTACACACAGGCATGTAAAAGAGAATCTTCAAAATAAAATGTATAATAGTTTAATATACTTTACCCTTTCTGGCTTGAAAACGCTAATTATTAGATGAAAAATATCGCAAATTATTGAAAGGACGCGAGCACTGTAAAATACGACATCGAAGTTTGTAGAACCTTTAAATAAAAGCACATACACACAGGCATGTAAAAGAGAATCTTCAAAAAATAAAATGTATAATAATTATATATACTTTACCGTGGTAAAACTCTCCAGAGAAAAAATGTAAATCTTGCCGGCGCTTAAAAAGCTCGGTCGAAGGCATTTAATCATCACAATCATGATCAGCTTTAGGTAACATTTTTTTGGAATAATAAATTTAATATGTTTATGAAAACTTGAGTCACATCATTAAAAATGATATATAAATATTTAGAAAAAGTTTGATCTTATGTGCATTCTAATTTTATTCTATGCAAATTCTTGCGTTTTTCCATAAAGTTAAATATGTATGTATGTAAAAGTAAAATGTATAAATAAAATATGTGAAATATTATTTGATTAAATATATAACATAGGTGTTAAATTTTAAAAAAGAAAGCTATCGTATAGTGTTTTCAATGTAATACATGATTATCGACTTTTATTGTCAAAATATCATGAGTGGAAAAGTGAAAATATTGCAGTGTTTCTAAATAATAAAGTTTTTGATCACACATATTAAATAAAAATTAAATAAAATAAAAATAAAATAAATAAAATTAAATAAAAAAATATATAACCATATAGTAATTTGTCTATAAATATATAGATAATTGTAAATCTATAAACATATAATCAAATATTCGTATGCATGTATCGATCATACAATGAACTAAATTAAAATAACATAGTGTTATTTATAAGTGCGATTTTGAATTGCAATATTTATTTATATTATTATGCATGTGCATAAATACTATACAAAATCAACCATTGGTTACTGAAAGGATGCGAGGACCATAAAATATGACATCGAAGATTGTACAACCTTCAAAATAAGAAGAAATTTGTTACAATAATAAAAAAATTGACAAAAATTTATGTGACATCACAATATTGGTGAAAATGTGTTCTTTACCGTCATAAAGCTTTTTAATGAAAAGATATATATTCTTCCTGCGCTTAACATATTCGGCTGCATGCTTCTTCTCATCACACTCAAAAGTAGCCTTTGCGATTTCATTGGCATTTTATACCAGGAACAGTTATATCTACAATATACATTTCAGTAATGACTTTCTTTATTTTCATTGTTCTAAAATTTGTCGCAGACTAAATATTTTATAATTAGAACTATTATCTCACATTTTATCGTGCATTTTTAGACTGTGATCTATCAATTTTTGGCCTTGCAGACTGAAGCAGAATATATGAATCAAATGGGCAAGGACAAATGTTGCGTTTCTGTATACTTCAAAAATATTTTCTACTTGCACTGCCATCTCAAATGGAATAAACATATTTTAACTTTTTATTCGTCGGGTAATTATGTAAACTTACATGCAACTTACATAATAATTTAATGTTCAAAATGTGCAAATATTGCAAGTTTTGCAATATTTAAACAATAAAGCACGTACTTGCAGCAAGGTAACACTTGTTCCGACGATAATCATTAATAATTGCATAAATAAACTTACAGAGAAGGTATTTTCGAGAGACTCCGCGAATCTAAATGGCGAATAAATATTATTACTATAACATATATTGATAATATCTTAATTAGGATTTATTAAATTATTCTGTTAAGTTTTACACCTCCACCTACATACATATAAAAAGGGAATGTGTAAAAATTAAGATTGATGAATTCAGCAATCAAGGACATCTAATTGAAGAAAGTGAAAAATGTTTAACAAACAATGTAATTATACAGAGAAATTTTGTAAATTGAGGAATTATGAAATTGTATGAGAGCTAATAATGACGGATTATCGGTGGGTACATTAGACGTAAACAAAAAAATATTTAAACCAGTAAAATTTAAAGAAGGTATAATAATTAAATACTAAAAAAAAATTAAAATTTTTATGTATATATATTAACCAAACTAATGTTTTAGAGCTAAAACATATGAAATTGCGTGGAAATTAAAATAACAAAAAAGTATTAATAAGCAAAGAAGATTTTAAATATAAATATTTAAGTTTCTTCAAAACGCAGCGCGAAATAAAATATCCGGGAGTGAAAAAAAGAAATAACATAATAGTCATTCTTGAATAATTTCCAACATTTTAGTATAAATTTCGTGAAAATCGGTTTACAAATGTGAAAATAGTTCGCGGTTATACAGACAGAATAACTTAATTTCTGTGTTAAATCAGGTTTCATAAAGGACCGAAAAGCTAGTGCAAATATATTTATGAATTTTAAGTTTTTTGTATTAATAAATTTGTTTATATTAATATATATAAAGTATATATAAAATGTATAAATGTTTAAAGAGTTTATACAAAAAAGTTTATAAAGAAAACTTATGAAGAAAATTTATAATATTTATAAAAATAATATGAAAATAAGTATTTAATTAAAAGTAATAATTGAGAAAAGTAAATAATAAAAAATAAGAATTTATATATACATTATATTATATATATACATTAAAATATATATATATATAATATATATATATATATATATATATATATATATATACAATATATATATATGTATATAAAATATGGATATTTAAAAAGCAATTTGCATTCTGCATTTTCAAATAGAAAGCTTTAAACTATTTTGCATTTTCTATTTTAAATGAGTTTTGACACACCATATTGCCTATTTCTAATTACAATAATTGAAATTAATATTAAAATAAAATAATAATATTACATACTTACTTTAAAGCTCGCCAATGTACATGAATGGATGAAACTATTTTTTGATTGTATATCTTATCCATATCATTTTTCTTTCCATTATGCTTATATACCAAGTTTTCAAAACGAAATCTAGATATATTTGAACAGTATATCAGTAGTTAACTTTGTTTTCCTATATTCTTATTATATAATACAAAAGTCGCTAGATTTTCAAGTACCCGCCATTAGTAACAACATTCCACCATTTTGAGACTACATTATACGACAATTTTGCATTTACATATATTTATTTTAATGTATTTTTTATTATGATTTTTTCGTGAATAAGAAAGAATAAAATAGTAAATCACAAAGAATTGCATAAATAGTTAATATTATACAAAGTGTGCATTATTTATACCATCCAACGTTATTTTGTTATTAAGAAAATTAATGAGAAAATGGATTACGATACTTTGTAAATCGAGTGATTTTAAAGTATACAAATAATAATAAGAAAAATACGAATTATTCTTACCCAGCAACGGCAAAGACGCCGCAGACATGTTCGATGTAAGTCAAAATTACGCAGTCGTGCGCGACTAGAACCGTTAAAACTAGTGTACCAATAATGGTAGCGTGGAATAAAATGTAGTAGAAATATTCTGTGTCGTCATAAACGAAATAGTGAGCTGGATAAGGCATGATTATAGGTCGGGATTTATTCAGGGGCATGACGATGTCTAATATCTTTGGTGTAAGGGTAGTAAATGGGTAGATCGGACAAGCTGTGAGATAGAACACTGCAACAAATATAAAAGAAATTGATTTATTATTTTTCTTATATATAAAATTGAAATAGACTGAATCATTCTTACTAGAATAAATCAAAGAAAGCAATCTTGCTTTTGCTGCATACGTTTTCATAATTTCGCATTCTTGCGGGCTTTTCAAAATTCTCCAATCGTTATACAATTGATCGGTGAGATGTTTAATCTAAAGTGCAAAAATATTATATTTTTTCAGATAATTTAATAGTCATTTTAGAAGAATGCAATCGCAAGGAACGATGATTGGAACTGATAAAATTATTTCTTGATTAATGAATAATATAAATTACATGTTATCGTACCTTGTAATTTGAAAATTGACACGTGAGCAATTTTATCGTAATCAGAATGAACAGTGTATTCGACGGCATACATAATAAGATACATTGCATGTTTCTACCACATTGAAATAATTTTCCTCCCTAGAAATGTTATTATTAAGCAGATTATAGGTTTGAAAACATTCTGTATACACCCTACTATTACATTTTAATTACACAATTTTATAAATGTTAATTTAATTAATTACTATAATTTTAATTTAATTTAAATTTATAAATGTTGTTTAAGTAAGGTAAACTCGAATATAATGACAATATCGAAAAGATGGTCAGAAGCTGCAATTTTTACAATAATCGTTAAATATAGTGCTCTGTTCTTTTTATTTTAAGAATATATTAAAACTGCATTATTTTATTATTTATTTTTTATATATGTATAAGTAAAGTTGCTTTACGTAAGCATCATTCAAAAAAAGTTAAAAATTGAAGTATTTAAGCACTTTTTCAACTTGATAAAGCATGACTATAGGTCGGGATTCGTTTAGAGCAAGACATCTAGTACCTTTGGTATAAGGGCAATAAATGGGTATAACGGACAAGCTATGAGATAGAATACTGCAACAAAAATGGAAAAAATTTATTTATTATTTTTCTTATGTGTAAAATTGAAATAGACCGAATTATTTTTACAAGAATAAATCAAAGAAAACAATCTAGTTTTTGCTGCATACGTTTTCATAATTTTGCATTCTTTCGGGCTTTTCAAAATTTTCCAATCATTAAAAATGTTATAATATCGAATAAATTACGCTCGAGCTGTCATAGTCGGCGTAAGACACATAAGAAAAGTACATATATTAAAATGGAACCCATAATTTAAAAAAATATTTAAAAAACACATACAGTATCACTACCATGTTTAAGAAAAATTGTTTACTTACAATATAGCCAAACAGACGAAAGGAAAGTCAATTAAAAATATTTTCAGAAAGAAATATTTTTATCGGCTCTCAATATTAAGACAATTTTTTTTTTAAATAAAATGTAATGATGCAGCTACATATTATTTATAAATGCGAATTAAATTACTATATTTTATTATCATGCATGTGCAGAAATACTATATAAATTTATCAACCATTGGTTACTGAAAGGATGCGAGAACCATAAAATATGACATCGAAGATTGTAAAACCTTTAAAAGAAGAAGTAATTTGTTAAAAAAATCACCATTTTAAAAATATATGTAACATCATAATATTTATGAAAATGTGTTCTTTACCGTCATGAAGCTTTTTAATGAAAAGATATACATCCCTCCGGCACTCAACATATTCGGCTGCAGGCTTCTTCTCATCACATTCAGAAGTAGCCTTTGCGATTTCACTGGCATTTTATACCAGAAACAGTTATATCTACAATATACATTTCAGTAACCACTTTATTTATTTTTATTGTAAACTTATCGCAGACTTAAATATTTAACAAATAGAACTATTATATCACATTTTGTCGTGTATTTTTAAACTGTGATCTATCAATTTTTGTCCTTGCAAACTGAAGCAGAATATATGAATCAATTGGGCCAAAATAAATGCTGCGTTTCTTGATGCTTCAACAATATTTTCTAATTGCATTGCCATCTCGAATGGAATAAATACATTTATTTTAATTTTTTATTTTGTCGAGTAATTATATAAACATAGATAATAATTTAATGTTCAAAATATGCAAATGTTGCAAGTCTTGCAATATTTTAAACGCACGTACTTGCAGCAAGGTAACACTCATTCCGATGACAATTGTTAATAACTGTATAATTAAAGTTACAGAGAAGGTACTTTCGAGAAACTCAGCGAATCTATATTGCGAATAAGTATTAATACTATAATAACATATGTGGGTTATTCCTCAATTAGCATTTATTAAATTATTTTGACACATATGATAATTATATAATTAATAATAATATTATTACAAACAGAGATGTGCATTATTTGACATAAATGTATTCAAAATGGGAATGTAAAATGTAAAATGCCTATTTTGTATTTCGCATTTAATTATTTTATATTTACATTAAAATAGTTTATATTATTATCCATACAGCACAACAAGATTGCAGCAATATTGTGGCAACATTTTATTGCAATATTAGATTATTGCATAAAATTGTGAAATGTTGCAGCAATATTGTGGCAACATTTTATTGCAATATTAGATTATTGCATAAAATTGTGAAATGTTGCAGGAATCTTGTTGCAAGGTTGCAGCAACGGTAAAATATCCGCTTTTAGAAATATTGTTCTATAACATTGCAACAATAATGCAATAAAATATATATGTAATATTACTATTGGATTATTGGAAATGTACCAATGTACATGATCGGACTGAATGTTCTGTACTTAATATTTTTTACGTGAATTTTATTTTCATAATATTTCTGAAATGTTGCTGCAACGTTGTTTAAACTATATTGCAAATTCATGCCTATATAATATTTCTGCAATATTGCTTTGCAATGTACAATATTGCAATGTTGTTGCAATATTGCTGCAAACTTGTGTGCTGTATGGGTATCCATTTTTTATTTTAAATGCATTTTTTGCAAATTAAAAATGAATCAAGATATCAATAATATGTATATGTAATCAAAATATTATTAAAGAAATTATTTAGTAAATATAACCAATAATAAATATTTTTCTGGTAACAGTAATAAATATGTTTTGCAATTTCACATGTAAATATATTTATGAGTATTTTTAATTTTTATATTAAAAATTCGTTATATAAGAAATATATAAATTTTATATAAAATTTATAAAAATTTGAAGTTTATACAAAGAAGTTTATAATAAAAAGTTTTTGAAGAAAATTTAAGTTTATAAACATTTAATAAAAAATAAAAATTTAAATTTAAATAATAATTATATAAGTAATACTAAAAAATTAAATAAAAATACAATTAATAAGAAAGAATTTTAATTGAAATATAATACACACACATTTATGTATCAATAAAACATTTTTATTTTAAAAATTGTTTAAAAATGCCTATTTTAAATGGGTACCTAAAACGCAGTTTGCATCTTGCAAATTGAAAGCTTTTAATTATTTTGCATTTTATGTTATAAATAGGTTTTGACCATTTTGCACATTCCTGATTACAATAAATAATAATATTAAAATAAAATATTAAGATTACATATTTACTCTAAAGCACGCCAGTGTGCACAAACGGATGAAGCCATTTTTGATTGTATATTATATCCGTCTCATTTTTTTTCCATTATGGTTGTATACCAAGTTTTCAAAACGAAATCTAGATAGATTTGAACAGCATATCAGCAGTTAACTATGTTTCACTATATTCTTATCGCATAATACAAAAGTCGCTAGATTTAAAACCCCTACAGCACGAAATATTGTTAAAATATTGCATAAATATTTCAATATTGCGCCATATTACAATATTGCAGTAATATTGTGCAAATATAATAAGTTATTATTTTATTGGAGACATTGCAAAATATTACTGCTATATTATAATGCAATCACATAACTTTTTCATTTATCACTATGTGCCGCAAGTTGAGCTAATTCGCATTAAGTTTTAGAAACAAGAATTATATAAAGCATGCAAAAAGTAGTAATTACAATCAACATTTTTAATCAATTTAATTTTTTTTTATATGATTCTAGTACAGGGAACTCAAATATTAAATTGATTGCTCAGAATTCAGACAAATAAATGTCTGAATAAATAAAAAAAATAAAAAAATAAATATTCTGCAATATTTTATAAATATTATATTCACCTTTGTAGAAATAAATCACTATCATTGCAGAAATGTTGCACAATATAGTTTGAGGGCGGACATATCTATATATTAGCAAGCTTTCAGGAATATTGCATGCAATATTTTAATCTTGCAAAACAATATTTTTGCAATATTCCGTCAATATTTCGTGCTGTAGAAGAAGTAACTAACATACTGCGTGCATTATTTACACTATATTCGATGCGATTTTGATTTCAATTAGTGAGATAATGGATTGTGGTACTTTGTAAATCGAGTGATTTTAATGTGTATACAAATAATAAAGAGGAAAGTACGAATTATTCTTACCCAGCAACGGCAAAGACGCCGCAGACATGTTCAATGAAAGTCAAAATTACGCAGTCGTGCGCGATTTGAGCCGTTAAAATCAGTGTAACAAAAATGGCAGCGTGGAATAAAATGTAGTAGAAATATTCTGTGTCGTCATAAACGAAATAGTGAGCTGGATAAGGCATGATTATAGGTCGGGATTTGTTTAAGGGTATGACGATGTCTAATATCTTTGGTATGAGGGTCGTAAATGGATACAACGGACAACATGTGAGAAAGAATACTGTAACGAAAATGAAAGAATTTATTTATTATTTCTATTATATGTAAAATTGAATTGGACCGAATTATTCTTACTAGAATAAATCAAAGAAAACGATTTTGCTTTTGCTGCATACATTTTCATAATTTCGCATTCTTGCGGGTTTTTCAAAAATTTCCAATCGTTATACAATTGATCGATGAGATGTTTAATCTAAAGTAAATAATATTATACTTTTTTAGATAATTTAATAGAAGTTATTATAAAAGAATGCAATTGCGTATAATGATCATTAAAACTGATAAAGCTGTTTCTCGATTAATGAATAATATAAATTGTATGTTATCGTACTTTGTAGTTCAAAAATTGACAAGTGAGCAATTTTATCAGAATCACAATGAACACTAAAGTCGTCGGTACACACAATAAAATACATTGCCAGTTTTTACCACATTGTAACAAGCTTGCTACCTACAAATGTTATATACATTTCAAAACATTCCGTTTACAGCTTATATCATCACATTTTAAATACATAACTTTTTAAATTCTTGTTTATAATTAAGGTAAACTCGAATATGATGATTATATCGAAAAAACGGCCATAAGCTGCAATTTTACAATAATCGTTAAATAGTACGTTTTTTTATTATTCTCAAAGTAATCGATATTTACAATAAGTTATGTGAGATATATTGTTTGAAATAACAATATTTAAATATATTACACCATGTTTTAATTTTTGGTTATCTCAAAAAAGTTTTTCCATTTTCACTAAAAATGTTATAATGTCGAATAAATTATTCTTGAGCTGTCATAGTCGACGTTGAACAAATAAGAAAGGTATATAAATTAAAATGGAACTCATAATTTTAAAAAAATATTCAAAAACACATACAGTATCACTACCATGTTTAAAAAAAATTGTTTACTTACAATAAAGCCAAACAGACAAAAAGAAAGTCAATTAAAAATATTATATTATTTCAAGCTAGTGTTTGTGGTTTAAATACAATACTTATATTGATTTAAATCTACTTTCTATATTTATATTTTATGTTCGCGTTATCATATTTACATATTTATAGATACACTAGATGCAAATATAATTTAGTGTAACTTTTTAAATTTGACAATTTGCGATTACGTCAAGACTGATGAAAATATAAATGTATTAGCACTTAAAATATTAATTAATATATTATGTTTCTTTTTATTTATTTATGTTTTTAACATTATCATTATACTTTATTAACGATTATCTGTTTGACTTTGGTTGTAAAACGGGATATATATTTAAAAATATGTATAATATTTTAATAGCGTAATTAACAAGATAATTTTTTCAAATGAAATTTAATGATTCATCTACACATTATTTATAATTGCGATATTGCTATATTTATTTGTAATTTATATTATCATGCTTGTGCAAGAATACTATCTGATTTTATCAACCATTGGTTATTGAAAGGATGCGAGAACCATAAAATATGACATCAAAGATTGTAAAACCTTCAAAAGAAGAAGTAATTTGTTAAAAAAATCACCATTTTGATAAAAATATATGTAACATCACAATATTTATGAAAATGTGTTCTGTACCGTCATGAAGCTTTTTAATGAAAAGATATATATCCCTCCTGCGTTCAACATGTTTGGTTGTAAACTTCTTCTCATCACATTCAGTAGTAGCCTTTGCGATTTCACTGGCATTTTATACCAGGAACAGTTATATCTACAATATACATTTCAGTAATCACTTTATTTATTTTTATTGTAAACTTATCGCAGACTTAAATATTTTACAATTAGAACTATTATCTCACATTTTGTCGTGTATTTTTAAACTGTGGTCTATCAATTTTTGTCCTTGCAGACAGAAGCAGAATATATGAATCAATTGGCCCAAAATCAATGCTGCGTTTCTTGATGTTTCAACAACATTTTCTAATTGCATTGCTATCTTGAATCGAATAAATATATTTTAAATTCGTATTCATCTGGTAATTATATAAACTTAGATAATAATTTAATGTTCAAATCGTGTAAACGTTACAAGTTTTTAACAATGAAGCACGTACTTGCAGCAAGGTAACACTCATTCCGATGACAGTTGCAAATATTTGTATAATTAAAGTTACGGAGAAAGTTTTGTCAAGAAACTCAGCGAATCTGTATAGCGAATAAATATTAATACTATGATAACATATGTTGACCATTTTTCAATTAGCATTTATTAAATTATTCTTACGCACATATATGAAAAATATATTAATAATAATAATAATATTACAATCAGTGATGCAAATTATTTGAAATAAATATGTATTTAAAATAGAAATGTAAAATGTAAAATGCCTATTTTGCATTTTGCATTTAATTATTTTATATTTACATTAAAATAATTAATATCACCTATTTTTATTTTAAATGCTAAAAATGATTAAAGAAATGAGATTTTAAAGATAAGTAATAATTGTAAGAAGAGTATATAATAAAAAAGATGTTAATATACAATATATATTTATACACACACACACACACACACATACACATATATATATAATAATAATAATAATAAATTTTTAATTTGCAAAATGCAAACTGCTTTTGAGGTTTTCTTTTGAAATTGGATATGAAAAATAGACATTCTTAAAATTTTTTCAAAATATTTTTTTTAAATATATACATATATATATACATATATATATATTTTTTTTTTTTAATATTTTTTTTGAAATAAATGTTTTATTTTAAGAAATTATTTTAAAAAAGCCTGTTTTTCATTTTTTATTTTAAATAGGTATTTAAAAAGCAGTTTGCATCTTTTGCATTTCAAATTAAAAGCTTCCAATTGTTTGGTATTTTTTATTTTATATAGAATTTGACTTCCATTTTGCACGTTCCTAATTACAATAAATAATAATATAAGAATGAAATATTAAGATTACATATTTACTCTAAAGCTCGCCAGTGTACACAAACAGATGAAGCCATTTTTTGGTTATATATCTTATCTGTATAATTTTTCTTTCTATTATGATTATATACCAAGTTTTCGAAACGAAATCTAGATAGATTTGTACAGTGTATCAGTAGTTAACTTTGTTTTCTTATATTATTCTTATCATACAATACAAAAGTTGCTACCCAAGATTGCAGCAGCATTGTGGCAACATTTTATTGCAATATTACAACATTGCAGCAACGGTAACATGTCCGTTTTCAGAAATATTGTTCTATAACATTGCAGCAATAATGCAATAAAATATATATGTAATATTAGGTACTATTGGATTATTGGAAATGTGTCAAATACATGATCGGACTGAACGTTCTGTACTTCATATTTTTTGTGTGAAATTTTATTTTCATAATATTTCTGAAATGTTGCTGCAACGTTGTTTAAACTATATTGCAAATTCATGTCTATATAATATTTTTGCAATATTGCAATGTTGTTGCAATATTGCTACAAACTTGTGTGCTGTATGGGTAATTTTAAAAGTATCGCAATCAACAAAATTCCGTCATTTTATATCCACGTTATACGACAATTTCACACTTATATATTTATTTTGTAATATATGGTTTTTCCGTGAATAAAAAAAAATAAAATCTTAAATCACAAAAAATTACATAAATAGCTAATACAAAGTGTACATAATTTGCACCATTTGATGCCATTTTTATTGCAATTAATAAGACAATATATATTGCGGTACTTTGTAAACTGAGTAATTTAAATGAATATAAATAATATAAAGAAAAATGCGAATAATTCTTACCCAGCCACGGCAAAGATACCGCAGACATGTTCGATGCAAGTCAAAATTACGCAGTCGTGTGCGAGTAGAGCTGTTATAAGTAATGTTACAGTAATGGCAGCGTGGAATAAAATGTAGTAGAAATATTCTGTGTCGTCATGAACGAAATAGTAAGCTTCAAAAGGCATGATTATAGGTCGGGATTCATTCAGGGGTAAGACAATATCTAATATCTTTGGTATAAGGGTAGTACATAAGTACAATGGAGAACATATGAGATACAATACTGCAATGAAAATGAAACAAATTTATTTATTATTTTTGTTATATATAAAATTGAAATAGACCGAATTATTCTTACTAGAACAAATCAAAGTAAACAATCTCGCTTTTGCTGCATATGCTTTCATAATTTCGCATTCTTTCGGGCTTTTCAAAATTTTCCAATCGTTATACAATTGATCGATGAGATGTTTAATCTAATGTGCAAAAATATAGTTTTGTAGATAATTTCATAATCCTTATTTAAAATGCAATAGCAAAAAATGATTATTGAAACTTATAAAATTATTTCTCGATTAATGAATAATATAAATTGTATATTATCGTACCTTGTAATTCAAAAATTGACAAGTGAGAAATTTTATCAGAATCACAATGAACACTAAAGCCGACGGTATACACAATAAAATACATTGCATGTTTTTACCACATTGAAATAATTTTGCTATCTAGAAATCTTATATTATTAGTTGAGTATATATTTCAAAACATTCTGTATATACTTTTTTATCATCATATTTTAATTAAACATTTTTTAAAATCTTGTTTAATTAATGTAAACTCAGATGACCATTTTGAAAAAATGGCCAAAAACTGCAATTTTTACAATAATCGCTACATAGTGCGTTTTTTATTATTCTCAAAGATAATCGATAGTAACAATAATTAATGTGAGGTATATACTATTTGAAATAACACATTGTAGATATTATAGCATGTTTTTATTTTTGGTTATTTTCAAAGTTTTTTACATGTCCACTAAAAATGCTATAATGTCGAATAAGTTATAGTTGAGCTGTCATAATCGATGTTAGACACATATATATATGTATACATATAACAAAGGTATATAAATTATAATATAACCCATAATTTTTATTTTCGTTTTCACTATACTTTTTTTTTATAAATATTATGGTTATGTTTTCTTCATAATTTAGTTAAGATGACCGACTTTTTATTGAAGTATTCATTATTAAAATATTAAGTATTTTGTTAATTTATGTATAAAATTTTACTTCTATTGTGTTTTAAAGATTGTTTTAAACATTATTTTTAATTAAAAAATCAGTCTAAAAATTATATTTAAATTTAATTTATTTTATAAAAGTTTTTATCTCAAAAAATATATTAATGTTTATACATGTTTAATGTTTAAAAATAAAAAGCTAATTATGTACAATGTTCATGTTTTAATATTTTGATTATGTAAAATTGCTATTAAATATTTATTAAATATTTAATTTTGATAGTTCCACTTTAAATTTTCAATGAAATGACGTGTCAAATATTATTTTAAAAAATACTAAAATAAAAGTATGCTTTTTACATTTTAAAACACTATCTTACCCGAGTTTACCTTATTAATAAGAATTATAGCTAACAAATTTAATTAAATGATTATATTAACCTGCGGAACCACCAAAGAAATTTCAAATGTAATCAGTAGAGTCAGTCGGAGCACCTTATCTTTTTTCTTTTGGTAAGGCCACTGTCCAACGAAAAAGAGCATTTTCTTGGTAACACTGTAATAATGACTCCAGACAGATTCCATAGTTTTAAGAGAGATCCTTCGCTCTTGGTGGTACGACGTCGACTAAATTTTTTGTCTTATTTTTCGATATACGGAACGAATAAATATTTCAGTCGAAAATAATAATGCCATATGTCAAAGTAGTACATGTCGAGACCTTTAATCTTTCGTGTCACTCTGCATACAATGTAATTGTGGATGACAGCATGTGGATAGGGTAGATATTTTTTTATCGCGAGTTCAACATATCGATTTAATAATAATATCCTCTAGAACATACCAGTTCAGACTCTAGCGTTCCATCCATATATTTAAGGTTCCGAATATAAATCTTATGATGGATCAATGTATAGGGTATTACAAAAAAATTTATTTCCATTTTATGGAAAAGACTCGTAACATGTTGTTTTTACACATATAGCTATATAAAAGTATAGCTATATGGATATATAAAAGTAAGGCTTGCATAGGTATATAAAGGTGTTCTTCGTCTGTTCTTTAGAATATGCATTATTATTTCGTATTCCTGACGATACGATCTGTTCTTTTTATTTTAAGAATATATTAAAATATATTTTAAGTATAGATTAAAAAAATATATTAAAAAATTATGAAAAATTATTCATTATTTATGGTATAGATAAATAAAATTGTTACATAAACATCTCTTTTGAAGAACAAAAAAATATATTTCTTCAATTTTTAAGTAAGTATTTTAATAACATATGATATATTTAGATATTTTTTGAGAAAATTTAAGACCTATTATATTACACACACACACACACACACACACACACGAGTAAACGCAATGTTGTACACATAGACATTGTTCTAACAAGCACTGCAAAATTAAGATATAATAAATAAATTACTCTCTAAATTTCTTGGAGTGAAAATCGAAGTAAAATTTCACTCTTTTGGAATGAAATTGTTCGATTTTCACTCCAAGAAATTTAGAAAGTATATACATATAAGGTAGGTTTATCTAGGTATAACAAGAGCATACATATCATATGTATTAAAGAAATTTAAGAAAAGTTAAGATAAATAATTTTTTATTTGCTTTATTATATGTATATAAAGATCTGAAATCGAAAAACTAATATAAATCTTGTTATCTCTTTAAAAGAAATCGATTTCTTTATCGAAATATGTAACTACTTTCTATGATCTAATTGTTAATCTTCGCAATGACAGTTGCTTGATGCTATATGATCATAATTTTAATTCGCCGAATTTCTATTATGTACATGATTTTAATTCCCGAATTTCCATTATGTATATCATTTTAATTTTTGAATTTTTATTATGAACATAACTTTAATTTGCCAAATTTCTATTGTATTGTTTGAAAACTATTTGTATAGATGTATCTCTTGATATATGTTTCTCATTTTGTTTAGTTTAATCGAATATAATGATGTATGCGCGAAACGAATTATATATTTTTTTATAATAAAACCTTAAAAATTGCAACGCATGTATAAAATTATTATTGCAATGCATGCATAGAAATATATTTATTAATTACGTGTTTCATAAAAATTTAATATTTAAATTTTTAACAGAAAACAAAAAATAGAGTTTTCTACAAGAATATTTCGATTAATATCTACGCTTCCATTAGATTCGTGCATCTATGTGTCCGCTATGCTGTACGGCTCGTGTGATCACGTGATCAGATGATACATCCCACACGTCCATTACAGTGCGCGGCTCGCGCGAGACTGATTCTTATGCGAGGTATCGCGAGCGCGAAGCCGAGGTCACGTGGCCACTGATCACATGACCTCGGCTTCGCGCTCGCGATACCTCGCATGAGAATCAGTCTCGCGCGAGCCGCGCAACGTGACGGATATGTGAGGTATAGAGTTTCGCGCGAGTCCAATAATAGCGTAGATATTTGATGCACTTGTAAATAAGACATAATTCATTATTAAAATTTGTCAACTTACAATAACATCAATTTATCTCAGGAGAGAATACAGTAAAATACGAGACTGTCAATGAAATTGTCTGATATTATCTTTCTTTACTATTCATTATTCAATTCTTTTCGCACTTTTTTTTATCAAGCAAGCGTCTATCTGGCTTTGTTCGTGGAACAATAAAAATATAAAATTATGTAAACAATATGTTAATTATATGTCGCAATTGCAACTATAACAGAATGACTTTTTATAAAATAAGAATGAAATAAGATTAGTAATACGCATTATAAATTCAATGTAATTAGAAAATCATTGTGTCTATGACATATTAATGTGTTTGAACAAATATACTATCTAGGATCAATTATCGATCATTGTTTACTCGAAGGATGCGAGTACGGTAAAATACGACATAGAAGACTGTAATACCTTAAAAAAATAGGAGTATTGAGGATTTTAAAAAGAACTTTAAAAAATATATTTTATAGTATAATCGGAATAATTGTTTAAATAACTATTTTCTTTACCGTAGTGAAGCTCTTCAGGGAGAAAATATATATCTTGCCGGCGCTCAAAAAATTAGGCTGCAAACACTTTCTCATCACGTGTAGAAGCATCTTTTGAGATTTTATGGGTATTTTATACCAGTGAACAATTATATCTGCAATACACGCAATAGCGTTTTAACGATCATCAAGCTTTCCCATTTATTCTTTTATGAATCCATAGCAGACTTATACAGGATGGACAAAATAAGTTACGAATTTTTATGTTCAAAAATATTGTTTCCAGAGAAAATTATTTCAGATAAAAGATTATACCATTTCGCGGGGGAAAAAGGAGTTGGTACTACTGACTTTTTTCTTAAAGGGCGGTTTTCAAGGTCATTTGAAGGTTATTTGTTTTTTAAATGGAATCACCAAATTTTTCTTTTAAATCGATTTTTTGCGATATTTTGCATAGAAATTTACAAGGGTAGGATGGTCAAAAAGAGAATAGTTTACGAGATATTTTATATTTAAGTATAACATATTATATAATCTTACGTAAACTATGATCTCATAAAATATCTCGTAAAATATTCCTTTTTTGATTATTTTAGCTTAATATTTTTATGCACAAAATAATAAGAGAAATCGATTGATATAAAGAAAACAGATAGTTGTTTTTAAGAAAAAATATGTAGCTTCTAGTTGGAAGTTACATATTTTTTCTAATAAACAATTTATTCTAATAAACAATTATGTGTTTTCCTTTGCACCAATCAATTTTTCTTATTATTTTGCGCATGAAAGTATTGAAGTAAGATCGTCGAAAACTAAATATTAGATAGAATAAACTCGTCTGCAAATGATTCAAGGAATCTGCCATTAATTAACAGATGATTCGCGAATTTCGAGACGCCCCGTATATTTTGCAATTAAAATCGATATCTTACACCTTTTCACGCATTTCTAAGCTGTGGTCTATCAGTTTTTGTCCTTGCAGACTGAAGCAGAATAAATGTATCAGTTGGCCACCAATGTACGCCAGATATCTCGATGTTTCCATAGCGTCATTTAATTGCGACGCGACCTCGAGAACACAATAAAAATACATATACGTATATTTTAATTTAATTATTTATTTTTATTTGCTTCTTTTAATTAAAGCACGTACTTGTAACAAGGTAACGCTCATCGCTACGGTAACTATCAATATTTGTATGACGAAAGTTATAGAGAAGGTATTTTCGAGAAGTTCCGCGAATCTTTGGCAAGCAATAATTCACGTTATTTATTATATCTTGTCTTGAAAATATATTCCTTTCGTAAGTATTTATTTATTTTTCATAATATATATTTATTACATACTCACTGTAAAGCTCGCCAATGTACGTGAACGGACAACGCTATTTTTTGTTTGTAAATGTCATCTGGATTATTATTCAATGTATCGATATTTTCGTGATTTGCCAAATTTTCGAAACGAAATCTGCAAATATTTAGACATCGATCTAGATGATCATCTATATAATTTTATTTAGGTAAGAGCAAACATTGTATGTATTATTACCCAGCTACGGCGAAGATGCTGCAGACATGCTCGATGGAAGTAAAGATCATGCAGTCATGAGCGAGTATTGCCACACAAACTATTACTATACCCACAAGAGCGTGAAAGAAAATGTAATAGAAGTATTCCATGTCGTCGCGAACAAAGTAGTGCGCTTCGTAAGGCAATATTGGAGGGCGGGATTCGTTGAGCGGCAACAGGAAATCTAATATTTTCGGGGTGAGGCTAACTAATACAAATAGGGGAGCACCTACTAAATAATACACTGCAACATAAATGAGTAAATCGTCGTCTCTCGTTATAGGCAAAATGATGAGGAATCGAACGCGATGATTTCCTTACACACATAAATGAAGGAAAACAGTCTCGCTTTTATAGCATAAACTTTCATAATTTCGTATTCTTCCGGGATTTCTACGCTTTTCCAGTCGTTATACATCTGATCAGTGAGATATTTAATCTAGAGAAATATATCAATTTTATATCAGATAATGAATTTTGTGAACGACTAAGTGTGACGAGTAATCGTGAAAATGTCAAAAAATATGTTTTTCTTCTTTGTATCAAAATATAATATTTTAATATATATATTTAATAATATTTAACATACTTTAATATACTTCATATATTTAATAATATTTTAATATTACTTTAATATTATTAAGTATAATATAATTTTTATTTTACTTTGCTATTGTAAAATTGGCATGTATATAGCTTCACTATAACTACAAGTTGAAACATATGTGTTGGTATAGTTGCTAGAATACACGGCACATCTTTGCCACACTTAATGAATTTGCCGATCTAAAACCCGAATTATTGATAGAAATTGTAAAATTCTTTACGTATTTTTTGTTTAAAAATGCAACACTTTATTTTTGATTTATTTTAATTTTTTTTTTCGTTATTAGATGTGAAAGAGCAACCTGTGGAACTATCATAGAAAGCCCAGTCATAGTCAACAGAGTCACTCGGAGCAATCTCTCCCTTCTTCTCTGATAAGGCCACAAGCCGGCCCACAACAGCATTCTCTTCGTCGTACTGTAATAATGATTCCAAACGGACTTCATAGTCCAACAAGACCGACAGCTATTTTTTCAGGTAAGTATTTCGCCCTCGACCACGCACGATCGACTGCACCTCTCCTTTCGTTCTCCAGAGAGAGGGACCAATCATTGTTTCAACTGGGGAACAGAGTGTCACGCGTCGGGGAAACCCTTCATTTCGCTTGTTACATCTCGTAACGCGTGCAATGAAGGCCTGTCAATGGACGAGACGAGTTTATCGATCAGAATTTCCGAGTAAATGAATTTTCTTTTTTTTCCTTGCGTATATCGCAATTTAATGGCCGGTTATAAGCGCTGCGGCGTCTATGTGGGATATAGCGAGATGTGACACATCGAAATTGCTATGTAACAAAGCCCCGACATGTGATATTGACACATATAGGGAAAAGTGTGCTAAATCGTATCTCTATATATTGTATTTTTTAAACAGAGTTAATATATTTTAAGATATCGCTGTTATATTATAGCTAAACTCATTCGAATAATGTTTGTGTTTTTCTCGTAAGCAATGATAAATTTATTGTGTGTGATTTTCATAATATTCAGCATCCCGTGTTTAAGCTATCATATTGAGAAAGATATAAGCAATTAAATTTATTTTATTAAAGCATTTTTTCATCTTATTTAATTCTGCATATGGAAGCGTTGAAAAATCGGCACAATGTTTTAAGTTTATTTTTTTTATTCACAAATTTGACAAAAGGCAATGGAAATTTGATAAAACGTACTACTAATTTTTTCTATATTGTACGATTAATTAAATTTATTTTTTACTTAAATATTAATTTTTTTATATTTAGATTGACATCTAAAAAAATATTATTAAGTTTTATAATTATATAGCGATAATTTATATTTGTTTATTTTTTTTTGTGTAAAAAGTATTTTTGTTAAATTTTTCAGGAGAATTTATGATTATAAAAATATGACATTTTTATACATATATTTTGTTGCAAACTGAAAACTTTTACAGAAAATAAAACTTTATTTTTGTCATTTTACAATATTTTATTTTTATTATTAAAAATGAGATATAAAAACATATGGGCACAATTTAGCAAACCAGTATAATAAATCGTACAAAATACTATTTTTTATTCATTTTTAATTTGCGATCTGTAATCTGTAACGCTGATAAATTTACATTAACGTTTAGCGCATATTGTTGACAAAGATATACAGTTTCAAAAGAATAAAAAAAATTTTATCATTTCTCGGATAGTTTTGTTATAATTTTAATATTTTTTTAGAAGGTAAGATTTAGCTAGATACTTTCCCCTATTTTAACCTCCTAAAAAATAACTAATAATTAAACACAAAGGACAGATTATTACATTTTTATTTTCCTCGAGTACAGTGGAACTTTGTAAGAATCATTATTGGATCCTAATAACATCTTTATCACATGAATTGCATTATCATCACTCGATTATTATTCGAAAAATATACAAAGTTTGTGGAAATTTTTTCAGATAAATACTTTCAAAAATTTGAAAACATGACATACAATAATATCTTGATGCTCGATGAGATTTTATAAATCAGATAAATAAATTTGAAACATTACGTGATTAACAAAATTATATAATTATAATATAAGAACTGAGCATGTGTGATGTTCTCGATACTTATTAAGAAGTCCTAAACGCCGTCGTTTCGAAACGATGAAACCTATCGATTTTATATTAAAAACAAAAATAATTTCTTAATTTTTAAATTAAAAAAATTTCTTTTAACAAAATCGATAGATTCGCGCTTTATTTCTATATATACTTTAATATAGTAGAAAAGCATTTATTATTCTAGTTAATCAATAAAAAGAAAAGGGTGCACAAAAATGTTTTATCGATAAAAAAAATTTTTATTTCTTAATTAAAAAGTTTTTTTTAAATTAAGAAATTAAATTTTTTTTATAATATAAAATCGGTAAGTTGGGATCCTAAACGTCCTTGAGAAGTCTGTTGTTTCTTTCCTGTTTTATCGACAAAATGTGAGATTAGATAAATTATATTAAATCTATTTATTCTTTTCATTGGTAATTTATTGTATACATACAAAATAAGACTAGCGCGAATTTGACTTTGGATAAAAGAATATAAGTGAATTTTTAGATATTAATTTGGAAGCCTAGTAAACGGGAATAGATCATCTTACATGTGCAAAAATATGCATAAAAATGTACTAGGCTTCCAAATTGATATTTAAACATTTACTTATATTTCTTATTTATTCAATGCCAAATCCGCCTAAATTTTATTTTGTAAGTACAAACTGCCAATAAAAAGAATAAATAAATTTATAGTTTTTATCTAACCTCATGCATTTTGTCGATAAAATAAGAAAGAAACAACAGCCATTTCAAGGACGTTTAGAATACCCTTAATCGTGTAAAAAGCATTTATTATTCAAGTCAATAAAAAAAAAGAGTGCACAAAAATAATGTTTTATCAATAAAACAAGACAGCGCTTAGAATCCCCTTTCTGGCTTGAAAACGCTAATTACAGATGAAAAATATCGCAAATTATTGAAAGGACGCGAGCACTGTAAAATACGACATCGAAGTTTGTAGAATCTTTAAAAAAAAGCACATACACACAGGCATGTAAAAGAGAATCTTCAAAATAAAACGTATAATAAGTATATATACTTTACCGTGGTAAAACTCTCCAGAGAAAAAATGTAAATCTTGCCGGCGCTTAAAAAGCTCGGTCGAAGGCATTTAATCATCACCATCATGATCAGCTTTTGCGATCTGACGGATGCTTTATACCAAGAACTATTGTATCTGCAATATTCCAAAAATGCGCGAGGTAAATGCAAAACATAACATAAAAATCTGATAATTTTTTAATGAAATTCAAAGACGACCGTCTTACATCTTCTCGCGTGTTTGAAGACTATGATCTATCAATTTTTGTCCTTCTAAACTGAAGAGGAATAAGTGAATCAGTTGACCAATGACATATAACGCGTATCTTATCTTCTCCAGTATAGGACCGTTCTCCTGTGAAATCTTCAATATGAAAAAAGTTTAATGTTTGAAACTTTTGCGGAGATTTTACAAGTACAATTTTACATAAAATTAATAAATACTTGTAACAAGGTAATGCTCATCCCCATTGTTACTATCAATATTTGAATCGCAAAGGGTATGGTGAAGGTATCTTCTAAAAGTTCCGCGAATCTATGTAAAAAATGAGATAAGCATGAAATATATTTTGTCACTTCTGGATATTTTAATTGTAAACATCTCAACATGTCACCTTATATACACTTACTTTAAAGATTTTCGGTGCGTATGCACGATGAACGAAATTCTTTTGTAATACATATCGTTTCGATCAACGACCTCTGTCAACTGATTACGATCATTGTAGAATAAACGCTCGAAACGATGTCTGCAAGTAATTTGTACGATTCACTTTATTCATTTCGACGATTGAATTCCTAGACAGCACAAGACATCCTCAGGATTATCATCAAAATGTCCAGGATGATCCAAGACATTTGTAGGATGTTTTAAGATATTATCATTAATATATTTTCAAAAAATTTAATCTCCATGTATGATTATTTTTGTTATCCAACACAAATTAATTAAATGCTACGCAATCTTTAAATTGTTTTATTTTCAAATTTATTAATGTTTATAACTATCTCGCGAGCATATGTATTTTTTGAAAAAAAACTACAATAATATGAAAAACTACTGGTATAATAATAGTTCTTTAATTATACATTATTGAAGAATTATTGCTATATTAGTAATTTTCTAAAATTCTTATACTTTTTTGTACAGGCAGATTTTTTCCGATATAAAAATTATCCTATAAATAAACATTTTTTTCATATCCTATAAAAGTTCCATAATATCCCACACAATATTCTAAGAATGATTCAGGGATAAAAAAAAGCGATCATATTGCAATTGCTCAGGACATCTGAAGGAGGTCTTAGGATTAAAACAGGATATCCTGAGGATATCTGTTATATCTTTTTGGATGCCTTTTGGATTTCTAGAGAACATCCACGTACTGTACGGGTTAGGTATATAAAATAACACAAATTTTAAATGCGGTTTTTATTCTGGCACATGTTTTAAATCAATTCCCCAGCGAGAAATAACCCATCAAATCGATGTCTAATTGACGTCGAAATCATCGACATTACGTCGTATCGAAATAATGCTCGAAATTTGATGCTTATTTTGAAGTCTATAACATTTTTAAAGGAAAAGATTGTTTGTAACGTGAATTCATCGCCAGAATTTTAAATGTTGCAAATTTATGTATTTTTTAGAGACATCCGATATTGTATCATTTAGATATCGATATCGATGCTATTTTGATTCATGTTTTTAATCATTTTTTTAAAACTATTATTATAAAATGCAAATATAAATAAAAAAATTATATTCTATATCTCCAGACTTAGATAGTGTAAATATAATTTTATAATTTAATAATTATTATGCGTTGCAACATAAACTTTTTATAGATCTTCATTTCGACTGACTCAGAAAAAAATGTCTATTCTTAATATTTATCACTTCTTTAAAGAATTATAATTAATGAGTATATTTAACAAATTAAAATAAACAACGAAATAAATATTTTAATATTAATTAATATTAGTATTTATATTTATTAATATAAATAAAGATTTGACTATCAAAAATAAATATTAAAAATAAAAAGTGAATTTTATATATGAGTATGATTATAATTTATATATCTTCTGTCATTCGTATGCGATCCGTAATTGTCATATTTATAGTAAAATGTAAATAAATTAATTAATTTATATATATATATATATAATACAACAAAAAGATTTATATTTTCTTTATTTCTTAATTAAATATATAATTATCAATATAGTGAGAAAAAAATAATCAATATAGAGTCGAAATCAATTTGTCAGTCGATAACTCATCGAAAGTTGTGACATAAATCAATCGAAATCGATGATATATCATTTTGTTTTCGATATAGTATGTTTTCGACATTGATTCGACATCAATTCGATAAGTCATCT